TCCCTTCCAACCCAAAGCATTCTATGATTCTATGATAATTACTCAATTATAAATACTCATCAATGGGAACAAAATTACCCAAAATAACAGGAGAGAATTCCCCACAGCTGATGGTAGCCACGTATGAGTTAGTCTGTCACTTGCCCGGATTCTGGAGGATCTTATTGTCCCATGCCTTGCCCATGAAGAAAACCAAGCTCTTCATTCCTTTCTTGCATTCCCAGCATCCAAGAGCACAGAATGATGCTAACTCAGGCCACTGAAAAATAAACACCTATTTTCAAGACACATTTTCTAGTCTGCAGTTTGAAACTGTGAAAATCTGACTCATTTTTCCAATTTCTACCCTGGAAAAAATTTGCTTTGAAAATATCTAATGCATTATGAAAATTCAATGGATGCCTAAAGGCTATAGATACGGGGTTACATTGGCACAAACCTGTATTACCAGTGAAACAGATAACTCTACCTTTCAAACTAACCTCAGTAGTATATTCGAAACAACTACTATCAGGCATTCCCTTCCCCCCGCCTTATTTTCAGTTAGGTTAGCTCTTTAATATGCCTTATCACCCAGCTGTACACACACCTTTGTCTTCATACCAGTGGTGGAGGGAACCAACATCCAGGTTTAGAGAGGTCAAGAGTGTGTCTTTCAGCAAGTGTATTTTGGTAGGCTTTTTAAGCTCTCCCTCCTTCCTTCTTTTCATTAGTACAAAACAGCTCTGTGGTTGACTCTATATTATTAATACACTTTGGGACAGAAAATACAAACACAAAGCATTATGCTGAACTTCGAGGGTAGTCAGAAAGACTTCAGACTAAGTAGGGAGAAACTGTGTGATCCAGCCTGGGAATCAGTACAATTACCCTCTTTTTTTTGCAGGCCTACTGCAAACATGTTCTAAGTATGGCCTAAAATGCCCAGGTATGTCAGTATGATTACGGAATGACTTGTAGCCAATACCCTGACAATATCCACTGCAAATTGCTAGCTAACCATAGCCAAATGCAATTCTTCACTCTTAAGTACTAACCACTAAGGCCACGAAGAACAATTTTGCAACCTTTAGATGGTCATTTCACGTTTTCCAGTGTTTCCCATTTGGACAAATTAACACAAGATTAACTCTTTCTAGAGCATTTCCCCAAAACTGCTCAATCATCCTTTAATAGCTTCTAAAAATATACTTTTCCATAGCATTCTCATGAAAATCATACATTCAGAGTAATTCAACCCATCCCCTTACTTCCCAGAATTTCTCCTTTTCTGTGTGTCTGATATCTAGGGCTCAACCTGGAAAAATAAATGCATGTGCCTGACTGATTCATGTACCTGTTCATGTATGACAAAGTAAATAATGCACAGGTAGCTTACAGGATTAGGACCCAGTACTGAAAGGTTTCAGTGTCATGGAATGTCTTTCATGGATGTCATTCATATCAAAGATACTCTTTCATTCCTAATCCCACAATGAGGAAATGAGTTCCATTCCAGTCACTCATTAATATCAACAAAAACCATTAACTAATTTATGACAGCAATAGAAGTGGCAATAAGTAGGGCAGAAAAAAGGTGGGAGGAATGTCCCACTAGACGTGACTTTGCAAGGCTGTCTGCTAGGAAAACTACCTCTTTCATTTTAACCCAGAAGTGTTTAATCCTTTTCTTAAACAATAAAGAGGCGGGATCCCAGGATATTTTAATGAATAAGGATTCTTAACAATGATCATGAGAAAGCATTTAATTTGAAATACACTGGTAGCCATGCTGACTCAACACTGCTTCATACTCCTAAGAGTTAGGCAAAATTGCTTAAACACCTTGATGGGCTGGCAAAAAGTTTCTCCTTCCCAGTAATGAAAGATTAATAATACTTAATATTAGTAAGAATACTTCAAACATAAGTATAATCTTATTAACCTTGCAACATTACCATCTTAGTTTTAAACCCCAGTGATGTATTGTGCTAGTGAATAATTGAAAAACTTTGAAACAGAACTCTTTTTTCATGATAAATATGTTACAAATGTTATAATGACCACATTTTTTTTCTATTTTAATAATTACATTATTGATCACCGTTAAAAGTTACCTGCCAATTTTAAGAACTGATATAGTACTTGTAAGTATAAGTTCTGGAGAGACAAAAAAGTGTGTCTATTTATACATCTATGTATATATATGTGCATACCCACATATAGTCACACACACACTCTATTCCTCTATTTTGCCCCCTTTTTAGTACTTTCGCATAAACGCCCCCAAAAGCATGTTATTACAAAAACCATGTTTTAAGGCTAAAGAAAACCTTCCTTCTTGATCATTAATGTATTTTCTAGTATCAAAAGCCCAAACAGGGAAATGCTAAATTCCATGTCTTCAGTTCATCTACTGAAAACAGAAGCATGCCCTGCTGTGTTAACATCGGGTTTGCATACACATATCTCAACTTGCCTAAACTCATCCCACAAAGCTTTGTTTTAACTGATTTTTTGTGCATTATAATACATCATTGTTTAAAGCAAATAAAATGGAAGTCATTATAAAATAGCGCATAGGTTAAATTTCAAAACACTGTACTAGTGTTAAATTAGAGGAAGCACTGGAAGTGGCCATGCAATGCTTGTACTTCGTTATTCGCTTCACTTTTCTTTGGGGTTAGAACCATAGATTATAGACTCCCCTGGGAAAGGATTTGATATCTACCTAAAAAAGCACCTTAGGCATAATTTGGAACAATTTAAAGAATTCCCCTATGAGACTATAATGTAATAGTACTTCCCCCATACATTATAAATGGGCTTTATTTTTTAAAAGGGAAGGAAAAATAAGACAGCATTTTGTACAATGAGCTTTACCACTATATTTATGCGTTCATCACATACAGAATTTGATTTTAAAAATGTAGAAGAAAGATTCTAATGACTGCGATATGAAAACTTATTTTCTGAAAGGCATTAGTTTCTGGAATACCCTACAAAAGTCTGAAAATAAACCAGCTTGAGACTATTTGCTACCATCAGACTGCCTGACCCACATCAAGCCATCTTTTCCTGCTCCATTATTGATTCATAAAATTCCACGTGTTTGTGTCCAACTGCCATGAAATGTCTCTCAAGTAAGAAGAACAATTTCCAGTGAAAGGGAA